CCTTGTTTTTCCAATTTTTTAATAAGTTACTGATTTCCGATGTTATTTTGTTAGTGGGATTTTTATTTATTAAATTGTATGTGGTCTGATCGTTGAGAATCTTATACATTTTCCCTATGTAATTTTCACGATTCAAGATTACTGTTGTATTCCCTTTATCAGCTCTAGTGATTAAAATGTCCAGATTCTTTGAGATGAATCGCTTTACTTCCCCTACATCTTCACGTATGAAAAGGTTATACTCAACATGTTTGATGAACTCACGCATACTCCTTTCTTTGCCGACGACGTTATTTAAGACAAACATGTTGAGTATAACCTTTTCAGAGCTGACGACGAAATGTGTAAAACGGTTAGGAACGAAACCATTCAAATAGTCAAATCAATAAATAATTGTGACATTAAATCGTCTAAGAATAAGATCATACGTGAAGGTGTATGAAAGGTGTATGGAAAATGTATGAAATTCTCAACGATCAGACCACATACAATTTAATAAATAAAGATCCCACTAACAAAATAACATCGGAAATCAGTAACTTACTAAAAAGTAAAAAAATTGGAAAAACAAGGGGTACATCGATTTAAATTTATACAAAAAATTGTACGTATCGGATGGCGAACTTCCGAGTTCTTATGGACTGCCAAAAATTCATAAGGAAGGTCATTTGCTGAGATTGATAGTCAGCTGCATTAACAGTGCTTTTTATCCACTGGCGACCTTCTTAAAAGAAATTAGACAATAGTAATAAAAAGAATTTTAGTTATGTAAAAAATAGTTTTGATATTATAAATAAACTTAATGGAAAGGTAATCGATAAAAATTTTAGTATTATATTGGGTATGGGAATAAGTTTCCCTTTTTAAATGAAAAAGATGTGTTTATTTAAACAAATCTATATAAGTGAGTTTATTCAAAGTATGCTCCTTCGGAAGCGACAACTTTCTCCCACCTTTCCGATAATAAACGGATTCCTCGAATGAAAAAATCTGGTTCTTTTGAAGCGATCCATTCATCAAGCCATTTTTTGATACCTTCATAAGAATTGAATCGTTCTCCAGAAAGGGCCGACTGCATGAATCGGAACAAATAGAAATCTGAAGGGGCAATGTCCGGTGAATACGGCGGGTGGGGCAGAATTTCCCACTTTAGTCCTTCCAAGTATTTCTTGACCGGTTTTGCAACGTGTGACCTAGCGTTGTCATATAACAGAATCAGCTTGTGCCTATTGTCCCATTCCGGTCGTTTTTCTTTCAAAGCTTGGTTTAAACGTATCAGTTGTAGTCGATAACGATCGCCAGTGGTGGTTTCGGATGGTTTGAGCAGCTCATAATATAATATAATATCTCTTTGATCCCACCAGATGCACAACATAATCTTCGAAGCATGGATATTTCGTTTTGGCGTTGATGGACCTGGTTCACTTGGCATCACCCATGCCTTCAAGCGTTTAGGGTTATCGTAGTAGATCCATTTTTCATCGCCAGTTACGATACGATGTAGAAAACCCTTCCTTTGTTGTTCATTGACGAAGCATCTCGCAGATGACCAAACGTCTTTCCATGTCTCTCTCTTTCAATTTGTATGGCATCCAATTTCCTTCTTTTTGCACCATTCCCATTGCGTGTAGACGTTTTCCAACAGTGGATCTATCAACATTTAACTCTTTTGCCTATCGAGCGATAAACACGAATCTTCTTCGAGTAATGCTTGCAATTCTGCATCTTCAAATTTTTTCAGTGCACCTTCGCGTTCTTTGTCACGCACGTCAAAATCACCACTGTTGAATCGCCGAAACCATTCTTTACAACTAGTTTTCGATGGAGCATGCTCACCGTAAATATCTATGAGCAAACGATGCGTTTCCGCAGCATTTTTCTTTAAAATAAAATAATGGAATAAAACTTCCCGCAAATGTTGCTTTTTTGGAATAAATTCTGACATCTTTAACGCAAAAAAAGTTACTCTTTGTTACGCTTCGAACGAATGCCATCTATTGAGCTCAAAAGTTTGGACACACACCTTTCAAAAACATGTCTTGCCGTTCTATCAAACAGCAATGCTACTAATGACATCTTTCTGCAATGAGCGGAAACTTATTCCCATACCCAATATCATTCGATGTGGTCTCGATGTACACGAACATTCCGACCGATTTAGTATTAAAAAGCATTGAACGTAGGTGGAACTTGATTGAAAACAAGATTTCGATTCCTTTACATGAGTTTATTAAAACAATTATAATTATTATTAGCTCTACATTTTTTAAATTTGACAAAAAAATATTTAGACAGATTTTTGGCATGCCAATGGGCTCTCCATTGTTTCCTATATTAGCGAACATTATTCTACAAGACTTAGAACAAGAAATTATTACTACTAATAATATTATCTCGTCTTTTTATTTCCGTTGATGACATTGTGTTAGCGGTGCATATAGACAAAGTGGAGGGGGAATTCTGGAATTGTTTAACTCATATCATGAAAGGCTTAGATTCACACTGTTGATTTTGGCGATGAAAACGGCATAAATTTTTTAGACGTAAAACTAATGAGACAAGAAGGAAGAATCATCTTCGATATTTATAAAAAACCTACTAATTCAGAGAGATATTTCAATTATTTTTCGAATCATCCGTTAGTACATAAAAGTGGTGTAATCATCGGGCAATTAGACAGAATTTTGCTTTTATCCCATCCAAAATTTCAGGAAAAAAACATCTCTGATTTAATTCACACTCTGTTAATGAATGATTATCCGCTTAAATTCATCTTTTCAACAATAAAAAATAGAATAAAAACTTCAGAAAGTAGAACTAATTTAAGATAAAAATCGTGAGGACAATAATAACGAAAGCGACTCGAATTCTAATTCAAAGAAAAAGTTTTTTATAATACATATTTAAGCAAAGTATCTGAAAAATTTAAAAAACTTTCATATATTCATGACTTTAATATCGCTTATAAACCCATGAATAAATTTATAAGAACGGGAAAAGATCCTTTGCGTAAAGAGGATCATCATGGAGTAGTCTATAAAATAAATTGTTTAAATTGTGAGTCTTCTTGTGTTGGCCAAACAAAAAGAAAATTAAAAACTCGAATAAAAGAACATAGGGTTAACATAAGATCTACCTCTGAGATGTCAGTGGTTTCACGTCAGTTGAATGAGATGCATGAATTGGATTGGAATAACATAAGAATTTTAGACACAGAACAATCATTAATGAAAAGAAGAATTTATGAAATGATATACATTAAAGATATACAAATAAGTGGTATCAATAAGCAAAGTAACACTGAAGGCTTGCCTGATGTTTATCTACCTCTTCTTAAGAAAGATCTCTCTCACACTTAATAAATAATTCTAGAATTTGCTAAACTTTTGACTTATATATATAAATAGTAACATATATGATATGACAAATAATAATACACAATGTCACGACAAATTTCCATCTATGTAAAGGATGTACTTGAGATTCATCATTTTTATTTTTTGCTGTAAAACAAGTAACGATTCTATTCTCATACATTTCGATTAAAAGATATTAATGATAGGTTAATTTGTTAAATTAGAATCTGGAAATTCTTGATCTACATATTTCGTGACAATTGGCGGTGTAACATTGTTGTACGAAGCACTTTCACATGACGAAAAAACACGTTTATATATAATTATATCATACGACGGTTGAATTTAATGTCAGCTATGTGTAATTCTGCGTTTAAGAATATTGTGAATTTACTGAAGATGACCAGATTGTGGCCGAAACGTCTAATGTTTTATTAATGTAATGATATCACAAACAATATCTTGTGCGGTGGTTTTTTATGCTCTTCTTTTCATACGTTTTTGATAGATATATGTATATATATGTACATATATATACATAAAGAAACTTTTAAATTGTATAAGAGATTGAGGTCACATAGTGTATTCAATCGAACATACGTTTAATTGAATGCGACCTCATTCGTTATTTATACAATTTGAACATTTCTGTTAACCTATCCAAATTACCCGACTTTATGTACACAATATATGTGTACATATATATGTATGTACATAAAGTCAGGTAATTTGGATAGGTTAACAGAAATGTTCGAATTGTATAAAAGAATGAGGTCGCATAGAGTATTCAATTAAACGTATGTTCGATTGAATACACTATGCGACCTCAATCTTTTATACAATTTAAAAGTTTCTTTAACTTATCCAAATTATACCCCGCTTTACCTTATAGCACAGTTTTGGCTATGAGATCCTGGAGCTAGTATAATATCGCTAATTTAATAAAATAATCAAAACAGCAAAAATTATTAGGTGTTGGAATTAATTCGTAGCGTTTTACAAGTGATGGGAAGTACTTTCATTAATGTATTTTTTAATGCTCATGTGAAATAAATAACATTCTTTCATTAAAAAACGCTACGAATTAATTCCAACACCTAATATTTAAAGTTAACAACGAATATAATCAGAACTAAGAATCTTAGCACTCACAATGGAAATTATTTAGTTCTACAGCAAAGGATAAAGTAGCATTCAGTTAAACTTCATATATCTCTAACAGCAAAAATTACTACAGTACATAAAAACAAATAGCTAATAAATTTAGCTTGCGCAGCAACAGCATTAGCTGTCTCTATTTTGAGGACACATTTTAGCTACCACAGTTATATACTGTAAGTATACGTAGTAGTAGTCTCGACTGACGGCACAACTTCGTCGCTTTTCTGTGATTGCAATTCGACAACCAATGATTTTACTCTGATACTCTAAATCATAGCTATTGAATTATCGCGAATTCTCTCTTGACTTAAGTTGGACCCCAGGCATAAGTGAGCGTGCCGTTCTTCATTATTCCTCTAAATCTCGAATAATTATTCTCAATATTTCTTTAATGTGACGGACAACTCAGCCCCGCACGGACAGCGAGAATGAGTGATTCGAAGCGTGAGTGAATCGGAAGGAGAGAGAATAAATAAGAATTACTTCCTTTTAGTAAGAAAATGACAAACATATATTTAATATTTGTAACGGAAACAATTACAAGAATCTATTCAAGTACGCAATTCATCGTAATTATAATAATTTCGTCTTGGTGCGAATATGAACTCATTATGATCGGGTGTGATCGAGTCACGCAGCACAAAAGAATACCCGAAACATGAACAAGCGATTGTCGCGAGAATTATCATAAATTCATCAATCATAGTTTATAGCAATAATCGCGGCTTTCCGCCAGACGTACGTTACAACGTCAATGATTTTCTTTACTCTACATGAAATGTGCCTCAACCGGCGTAGAATACAAGATGGCGAATTAACATACAATCACACTAACGAGACGCGGTGAATTCGCTGTGGTGAGAGGGCGACAAGCTTTACGCAAACTGAATACAAAAATCTGTGTGATTCGAGCGAACGGCAAGCGGCAACTAAAAGATTAATTACTCACGGCTCCCTGTACGGGCCTCAGCCTTTTGGCTCAAATTCGGCACGTACTATTCGCTCGAGATCACGTTGTCGGCAGAATTTTTACGCTTGTCACACTGGCGATTTCCTCCTTGTCCCTTCGATATCTCCTCTCAGCTCCTTCCTCTATCTCCACTCGCCTCACTTTCGTTATCGATAACTCGTTCTTTATCCTCAATAGATCTTGCGTCCTCTCACAATTTGCACCAGGCTCGTGCCACAACGCAAGTGATCGGCAGGCCCCGGCGGGGGATGCACAGCTTTTCGGGAGCGAGGTCTCCTGGCGCTTGATTGGCCGATAGCGGCGTCGTGCGACTCGCGCGAATCGCGTAGGCCCGTGGCAGTGACGTAGCTTCTCGCGACTTGGCGCGGAATCCGAATTTCGCCCAGGCAGTCTTCTCGCCAGGACTCTTCTCGTCTCGCACGAAACTCTTCCTGCTTTAAGTAATTCCTTTGGTTCGACTCCGAGTTCGCCGTAGTCTTCTCGGCTGATTGTCCTCTTGAGAAGCTACCTCATCCTGATGTCTCTGCATCTTTTCTCTATAAAACAGGAGCGGAACTAAAAAGACGTAAATAATAAATGCAAGTAGCAAGTTAAAAAGAGCGATACGATCTACGCGCCCCCGCCATTGGGGCATAGTCCGAAGCCTCCTCGGTGACAGTCCTCTTCGGCGGTCTTCTTCCCTGCTGGCAACCGGATGAGACAGCTTCGACACAATCAACGCACAGCTACCGATTCTCAGAAAATTAATGCAAAAAAATACAGAAGAAAAAATAAATAAAAATAAATTTAAGGTGGCGCACAACGGTAGCGCCCGCATGCTTGTTGTCCGCCCTCACCCAGGAGGACCCAGAATCGCTTATCCGCGACAAAGTGATAGACGAAAAACGTTACATCACAATACATATTAGCTCCTACCGTTCCTTTTTTTTCATGTGTATTCTTGAAAAGAAACGTATACGAAATACTAGAGAAATACTATAGTATACATAATGTATTGTTATACTCGTGCCGACACCCGTGATATATTGAAGAAAGCGATTAGCCGTTCAACTTTTTAATAAGATCTTCAGATTTGGATGTGAGCCGTCGCCGTGTCCGGACGTATCTCTTCATTATTATTTATTTGCTGTGTTCTGTGTTCTCCGTTCTCTTTGTTAATAAACGTTTCTTATTCTTTTTGTTACACTCGTGTTCGTTATTTCTGCGGTTCGAAAGTGCGCAAACGCGTCCACGCAAGAGCGATCGGCCACACGGGCACAATATTTTGGGCCCGTCTGTGCGAACGGATTGAACGAGCAGACTGACGATCGAACCGAGTGAATTACCGTGACACATTGCGATCTTCACACAAAAAGAGAAGTTTCTCGTTACTCCGGAGAAGGATTCGACCACGTCGACGACATGTGACAGGAAGCATCCTAAATAATTAGGAGGAGTTCGCGGCGATACTGCGGCGGCGAGATGGATATTTTTCAACTTCAGAATAGACTGCGCGAAATCTTCATGAATCAGCTAAGTCCCTCCAATAATATTTACGAATGTAATGCTCTATCCTCCCGCGTTGGCGATAGTTCTGTCGCGAATATTACCGATCGCGTTGGTCCCGAATGCCGCTAACCTCATTAATAGTTGTGTCATGAATATAGTCAATCGCATCGGTCTCGTCGCGAGTGCCACTAATCTCGCTAATTCATCCGCAAGTATTACCAGTCGCGTCGATTCAGCCATACCGCTTCGTGTGGAAGTGTCGCCATCATTTTAACTCCAGAAAGTCTGGCAGTATAATCTTCAAAGAAAGAAAAGAAAAATTCTGAATTTGCAAAGTAATTGGGAAAGCCGTATTGTGTAATAAAGAAATTAAGCGACGTCGTGTATTCGCAAGTCGTGTACAAATATAAAAATAAAGTAGTACCCTCAGATAGATTGGCATCTTACTTTGAGAGACATTTATGGACGAACAAACGAATACATAGATAAATAAAGTATAATAAATCGAGCCCCCTCTCCCCCTCTTCCCTCTCCCCCTCCCCTCTCCTCTTCCACCCTCTCCCTTCTTCCCATTTCTGTCCATGACATTCGAACTGCGCGCCAAATTGGTTTTTTGTACATGCACTTAAACTACTGTGGTAATATCGCGAATTAAATTGACGAGGTCTGTGAATCTGATACCTCTAAATACGAATTTTGACAAAATCTACATCGCATTCGATTGTTTATTATTTGTCTACATTTCATAAACAAAATTTTTCATTCACCATAAAAAAAAATTATAAATAAATAAAAAAATTCTAGCACCTCCCTGTGAATCTTCCAAATTACATATGGGATTCGATTGTCCACCATACGTTTCCACCCGTAATTTTCTTTTATTCATCTTTCAAAAAAAAATTATAAACAAATTAAATAATTCATCACTGAAAAATAAAGACAATTGCCTAGACATACGCATACGCATGGTGAACAATCGAATCCCGTACGTATTATAATTAGGAAGTAAACGCATTCTTACGTGTACAGTAACGAATTGTTTAATTTTAATTTGTTTATAACTCTTTTTTGAAAAGTGGACAAAAAAATCGCGTGGACAAACACGTAAGCATGATGGACAATCAAATCCCGTTTGTAATTAGGAAGTAAACGCACTTACATATACAGTGACGAATTGTTTAATTTTAATTTGTTTATAACTCTTTTTTAAAAAGTGAACAAAAGATAATTCATGTGGACAAACGTGTAAGCATGATGAATAATCGAATTCCGTATGTAATTCGGTACCGAACCCAGTATCGAACCGGATCCACAGATCGCGAGTCAATCGCACTGAGCGGCGAGACATCCACTCAGCCCTCCTCCCCCATCTTTAAATTAAGATTCCTGCTAACCGAAACGAGCTCAAAAATTTTTGGTAATACTCTAGATTAGGGGATCCTCCAATGACCTTAATCTTGATATATGTTATCAACAAGATCATAACCTCCAACAAGTTTTAGCCGTTGCTCGTCATTTGTTAAAAAGTTATTAATAAAAAAGGCTTGAAAAATAACATTTTATTTCTATTATACATATATAATTTTAAAAACTATTTTGTAGTCTTCCTTGCTTACGTAATGACTTTTCACGCGAGGTGACTTTCATCCCACATCCATCCTTCCCTCTACTTAGAAGCGCACGACTTCCACACGAAATTTTTGTTTTATATAATGAAAGGACATCATTTTTCAAATTTTCCTTCTTAACTTTTTGATGAGTAACAAGCATCAGCTAAAACCTGTTGCAGATTACTCGAGGTCACGATCTTGACAATATATGTCAAGGTCGAGGTCATTGGAAGGGGTTCCCTAATCTGAAGTATTATCAAATTTTTTTGCGGAGTTTGAAAGCTGATAAATAATTCTTAATGAGCTATGCACTTTTTTATTTCGGTGTAGTGGGAAGACTAGCTGGACAAGAATAGAAAGAAACTTGAAGCGCGATGCGGACTGTGCAGGTTCTCACGATCGTATTGATATTTCTTTAAAAATATTAAATTTTTGAATTTTTTTTGCTCTATCTTGGAGAAAAATAAAAGCCAAAAAATAAAATCAAAAAGTTTGGTGTATTTGATTTCATTATAGCACTACTGTATATTTTTTTTAGTATGACGGATTCAGCAACATGGACTTCCCCCTCCCCCACTTTAAATTCGATTTGCTGCTAAACAGAATAAAAGATTCGACGTTAAAGAAAAAAATTAGCGAATAAAGAGTATTAAATTTTTGACCTCTTGCGAATTTGAGATGGTAAGAGATCTATGTTAATAAGAGTGATGCATTAATTCATAAATAAGAATCATGTAGGAAAGGAGCAAGTCAGCATTTCGCCTGCGAAATAAATCCCCAAAATTAAGCTCCAAAATGAAATAAAACGAAATATATTTTAGACGGAATAATTTCGCTTAAAAATTAATTCCAGTATCTCCTTGGACTTGGAATTTCTGGGAAATTATAATTTTGAATATGGTATATAAAACATTTTCTGAAAACATTGTATGAATGGAATATTTAATGATTATAATGATTTGAATGTTACTCTTATATATATTCTGTGAATATTTCGGATTAGACTGTTCCTCGCTCCAATGAAGTGAACTGCAATATTCACGAAATTTTGGCATGTTAATAATAGATCTGAACATGGAAATAACTCGCGAAATGCATTGCTTCTGTATATAAAATATTAAAAACATAGCATTAAAAACAGGCTAATGAGAGGGTTCGTTACCTTAACTATCTTTCATCGCACTCTATCATTCAAAAAAAAGTGTAATAACCGGAATAATCGAGCTGTCTTACTTTCAAATCCGAAATTTCATAAAAATATTAAGTTTATAATAAATACTTTAATAAATAATAATCAGGTTGATTTAATTTTTTATATATTGTAATTAACTTACACTTGAAATGTTTGTTCCATAACTAAAACTATCTTTAAAACAGACAAACAATAAGAATAATGAATCTAACAAGAAGTCATTAACAGTGGTTTTTGTTACCTTATGATTCTTTGAATGCGGATAAATTCGTGATTTTTTTAAGACTAGAAATGAAATTATTCTTTCCTTTTAGGTTAAATAAACACACACATTTAATAGATTTATAAAAGTTTACAAGAACATTCTCCCAAAATATTTTAACACAAGTATCATTAATATAATCTTATGCAAAGATTGCGATGCGTTGAATAAATAGGTAAAAAATTATGTAGAATATCTAAACATCACAACCATATTAACAGAAATATTAACAATCAATCAATTATCATGGAATTATCACAAAATTAATTTTCATCATTATTTTGATTGAAAAAATATTCAAATTCTTGATATTGAAAGATTTCCAAATGAGCCTTTAATTTCTATTGCTCATATATATACGCAGAAGAATGATTTTAACCCTTAATACACACCTGTGGATCATTCGTGTCCTGCGCTTTTTTTTTTGAAATACTAAGAACACCTGTCAAATACCGGTCTCGTTTCTATTCTTAAAAAAAAGTTTAGCATCTAGAACAAGTTTTACATGTTACCGGCAATTCATGCGTATTCCTTAACTGGCATAACTCCGAAGTTCATCTCTGGATCACAAATAACGCGTGTACATTTTACAGAGTGTACATTTTTTGTAACTAAAGAAGTTTTTTATTTTTTTCTTTATTTTTAACTAATTCTCATTTGTATTGCAGGAATATTTTGCGAATTATTAAAAAAAAAATCTAACCCTAAAACAACACATTGTCTCTCAATAAACGCGATTTTTATTTATTCTAAATGTTATCAGTAATATTATATATTATGTTATAGAGAATGTCTGTAATGTTATAGAGAACAAATTATAAATTTTTTTAACACAATAGCAATAATAAAATGTATTTGCAAATTTTAAAATGTAAATGCAATATATCTTCAATGTATAGCTATTCATGCATATTAAAAAAATATCATTTTCAGATTACTCAATAATCAAACTTTTTAGACACCCGATACTTGACTATTTTTTTTTTATATAGTTTGAAACATCAATTTTAAGATATTAAACTACACTGTTAGAAATTCTTAAATTTCATTAAATTTTAAGTTACACAATTTAAACTTAATTTCATTATAAATTACATTATAAATTTAATGTATTTGTAACTAAAAAGTATATTTGTATACATATACATAAATTTAATGTATTTTTCATGAAAATTTATGAAATTTAATGTTCATTACATTTAAGTAATTAATGTAATTTAATTTTCAGTTAAATTATTCATTACTTTTAATTTCGTTCTTAACCATGAGTTTCATTTATATGTAATATATGTAAAGGAAGCTCGTGGTTACATTTCTAACAATGTATATTTTTCCTTTAAACATTTTTATTTCAGAGTTTTACATTTTTATATGAAACAGTGCATTTTTCTTATTTCATTAACTATATTTAGTTATAACAATTTATCTACAATTTATTATGAATATATAACTGCACAAATATTTTCTAAAGATATCAAAATATATGTAAAAATTAATAATTTATATATACTTATAAAAGTGATGAAAATTAATCCAGGACATAAATGACCAAACGTGTGTATTAATTCCTATGTATTTATTCCTAGTATGATTGTTATTTTTGCTTACCTTCCTTATAACACCAGAGTTTATGAAATCTTGCAATTTTGTCATCATGCTATATCTCTGGACTGAATACGTATTTTTTTAACTCAAAATGAAGTGTGAAATTTATACCTCGAAGTCAGACAAAGAGAAATAAATATGAATCAAATAAATATTTTGTTTTCAATCAATTACAATGTTTCAAAGAAATTTTATTGGAAAAATTCGCAAAAAAATGACTACTTTATATAAACAATTCTTAAATTTTTTAATTTAATGTTCAAAAACCCATAGGATTTTTTTAGTTGACTCTTTGGACTAACAAAAAAAAATAGTACGATATGAATCACTCAAAAAAGTATAATTATTTGAACTATCGAAAATCGACATTTTTTAAGAATCTACATATTTTAAGTTTACAATTAATAAATAAAATTTTATTATTTGAACAATATGAAAGAGTTATAATACACATATAAGATAAAGGATTGTACAAGTATAAACATTATTATAGTATATATAATTAAGTTTATTAGAATTTAGTTTAGAGGATGATGCAACACTCGCTCTAAAGCAATAAATCCGCCCCGGCTGAGCGATCTCCGAAGACTGACAGAAATTATAAAATTTCTACTATTTATTATATTGAA